CTCCTGAGCTACCAAGCTCCTACCCCTCCCCTCCAACAATGACAATAACTTTCCCAAATTCTTTTGAAAAGTTAAAATCAGCTGCCTAAAAGTCACTAGGCTTTGCTGTCGTGAAAGCCACCTGTCCACATGATTGACACCTACATGACCAGCACTACACAAAACCTGTGGCTAGAGGCCACCACGCTGGACAGCGGAAATAGAGAGCCCCTGTCACCACAGACTTTCCCTTAGACAACGCCAATGGGACAGTCACTGTAAACACAGGTGACCCACAAGAGGCATGGAAATTTCTGTGTTCCTAAAGCCCAAGTGGGGGAAAGCAGCCTTTCATCAAATAAGCAAAGTCAACAAAAAAATTCTAAATTTAAGTACTACAAAGGAAACTGCAAAGTGACCCAAAGGATTCTGAGGTTGGGAGGCTCTGCTCACAAGACAGGCCTATTTGCATGCAAAACAGCAAATCTGAAATGAAGGGCCCTCGTCTCCCAAAATAATGAAAAGTTCTGACTACAAGCACAGACAGTAGGCCCACAAACCTGGAGTTGCCTGGAGCAAGAACCAGTTTCTCTGATAATTCACAGCAACAATTCCCTGATGTCTCACTAGTGAAGCATCTCTGACCATTTTCGTTTGGGCTGATTCACATCAAACACTGGCTGGAAACAGTAACTCCGTGGGACGGGACTCGGTGGGAGCCAACAGTCCCTGGCCCTGGCTGCGGATGTTGGAAAAGGCCGTAGCACAGCACCTGATGGTTCTTGTCTGAGGGAGCAGCCTCTACTTCTGAGTGAGCTTGAGAAGCGCCAAAGAGCTAGGAGACTGGGGCACTCATTTTTGAAGGGTTGGTCTTTAAACATAAGAAGCAAATGGCCCCGGGTACAAGTGAAAAGAGAACTTCCTTGATGAAGCTCTCTGCTGCCCAACAGAGAGAGAGATATTCTGCAAGTTTAAAAAAAAAAAAAAAATCAACAACTACGGGTTTCCTACTATAAACCCACAAATGAACCACCATTACCATTTTAGATGAAAAACCTGCTATGTACTTTTGTCTCTTTAAACCTGAGTTAAGCACTGTCCCCGTCGGTGATGATGGGCTCTGCGTCATCAGCCGGAGGGGCTCAGAGCACAAGCCTGTCCCTCTTCTCATCGTGCCCACATGGACTGGCCAGAGAGAAGGGACGCGGAGGGGCTGTGGCTCCCTGTGCTCCCTCCTCTCTGGCAGTCCCTTGTCACCAGCTCTCACTGATGACCTGCTGCTTCCCATTTGCTAGAGGCATGAAAACCAGTTTTGCAACATAAAGTAGACAGACTGGGAGGGCAAGGCTATTGTTTCTTGGCAGGGAAGGGGAGAGGACTTTGTGCAGGGATTTAGCATCCCCACCTCTGGATATAGCTGTGAGAAGAGGTGGGCAAGTAGGGGGCTCCCAACAGGACAACAGGGCTGCCTAAATAGAGCAAGCAGGCCCTTCAAGAGCAGACAAGTGAGCCACAGATTCCCTCAGACCCCTTGCCTGGTAACCCTGTCAGCTGGTATTTTAAAGTCAAGCTGTTTATTGATAAATGTCTACTGAACAGACTGCATAAAGTCATACAAATGTTTAAGAGAAAGAATGAACCACATTATCCACGCGCAGCTTCCAGCTGTTTCCTCATCTTCCCACACTCCCTACAGAATCACTCTCAGCTTACTCTAGAGCCTGTCGAGAGCCAAACAAGCTCCTTTCTAGAATGATTTAGACACAAAGCACCAATGGCCACACCCTGGAATGAGGACCAAACAAAACCAGGAAGCCAGACAATGGCTTTCACATCCGAGGGTCCCAGGCAAGTAGAAGCAGGGTGCAGGTCAGCGCAGCCCACAGGCTGCGAAGCACCAGGATTGTGGCCGGTGGGAATGCGTCAGCGAGCTTGCCCACTGCTCACACCGTCAGGACCCCAGCCTCCTGTTGCATGTGGCACCCAGGTTAGGTATCAAGGACCCCATATGGCTGGATCCTAAGCCATCAAAAACTTTTGCAAGATTTTAGAGTATTCCTCTGACAACCGCAGACCGAGAAAGCAGAAGGGTGAGAGGTAGCACTGGTGCTACCTCTGCACTTGATCTTAGTCAAAAGGCCGAGAAATGACTGTGTGCTCCTCTCTGAAGGAATGTAGTGAAGAGCACCAGACAGAAAAGAGCAGCGAAGGCAGGGCTACTTCTACTGCTCCGCAGTCTATGCAAAGCTACCGTGGCCTCTAAGCTGGGAAATAGCACTTAGCTTTTTCTTGGTTTAAGTTTACATAGTCTCTAAAACTCTTTAGAGTGAGGAAGTTCACAGTAATACCTCCAGACAAAGGGTATGAACCACTACCCAGGCTGCAAAGTGGTATGAAGGTTATCATGAGTCTTGGAAGGGAGGGACTGAATAATTCACCTATTCATTCAAGTTCATTGGATGTGTATGATTATCAATCAAAATAAGTATAAACTACATTCATATCACACATCAAACTTGCATAATGGCATAATGCAATGTTACTTCAATAAGAAATTATATATTTAAATAATGATGGAAAGTCTGTCGTTTCTTTTAAAAATCTCTTTAGCTATTGGCCTACGCAGATTCTCAAAGGGGTAGATACTGAAATTTAGGAGTGGTCATTGGAGACCAGAGAGAGTACTCACCAACAGCCCTTCCCTGGATATCTTTCTTCCAGAAACAAACAAACATCTTTAGTATTAACTGTAGGAGGTTCCCATTTGGGCTGAATGTGCATTATTAAGAATACTGCATTAATCCCCACCATGATCCATATGCACCTTTCATTCTGTGTCATTGCAGTAAGTGAGGCAGTTTCATTGGGGTTCCCTGTTTACCTGAAGTCACCTGAAATCACCTGTGATGCTTGTTAAGAAAGTAAGAGTACTGGGTTCACCCTAGATCTACTTATGTTATTGTGATTTATAATAATAAACATATTTGGTCTCTGTCCAGTTTCTGGACAGAGCTCCTAAATATCTTGGAACTTTCAAAGTGGTAAGAGTGACATATGTGTCTTTGCTGCACTGATAAGGTAACATTTGGAAATCACATAAGGATAGGGGCTGGCTGCCAGAAGAACCAGCCACATGATGAGAAGACTGGAAAACTCAGTTCCACCCTAGATTGAATCAACTGCCAGTGGCCAGTAAGTTAATCAATTGTACCTCTGTTATGTGCCTCCATAAAAACCCACAAGGATAGGGATGGAAAGCTTCCAGGGCTGGGAACCATAATGCTCTCACATGCCACCCTGCCCCAATACCATGAAGACAAAAGGTCCTTTGTTTGAGACCTCGCCCAATGTACCTCTTCATCTGACTGTTGATTCTATCTTTTAATATCCTTTGTAATAAATTGTTAAGCTGGTAAATAAATGGGTTTCCTGAGTTCTGTGATTGGCTCTAGAAAATTCATTGAACCCAAGGAGGTAGCTGTGGGAACCTCTGGTCTACAGCCAGTGATAACCTGGATTTGCAGCTGGTATCTGAAGTGCAGGGCAGTCTCGCAGACCTGAACCCTTAACCTGTGGTAGCTGGCGCTATCTCCAGGCAGGCAGTGTCCTGGAGACACTGGGCTGGTCTGTAAGACAATTTGTTGACTGGAGAACTGCCTGCCGGTGTGGAAGAAAACCTGCTACACTGATGGGAACTGGGTACAAAACCAACACATTTATAAATCAGAAATCTAGGTGCAAGTGCCCTGGGAGGCTCTTATCATGGGTGCATTTAGTCTTCACCAGCATGCGAACAAAGTAGATACTATTTTCCTCATTGAATAAGGAAGCAGATTACCTTGTCCAAAGTTGCTGACTAGGTGATGAAAGGGTAGAGATTTGGGCCTCAGGTAAATACAAAGCAATGTCATGCACTGACCTACCCAGCTGAGTGCTGCCCACTATGGAGATGTGCAGAACTTTTCTTTCATCAAACTAGATACAGCCTATACTATTTAAAAGAATAAGGGAAAGATTCCATAAAGTAATAGTGGCAATAAATCTACACTCATGTATAGCACTTTGCATAATCCAGTCCCACCTGGGGTCCTGTGTTTTCCCTGGAAGCAGGGACCATGCCAGCTCCTCCTGGCACCATAATGGAGAAGCCAAGCACATGGCAGTTGTCCAAGGGGAGGGCAGCTCTAAGGGTGAGCCTGCACGCCCCAACAGGAGAATCTCTGAGGCGTTTCTTAAAATGTGAGTTAGATGATAAACTCTACATACCACCATTTGGCCTGTCAGGAAGTGAGAGGCATTTGAAATAAATAAATCTGTTCAAGAGGAATGGAAGTCACATATACTGTGGATACACAGAGAACACAGCGTACAAAAGCATACTACACACTCTTCGTTACACGATTAAAAAACAACTCATAAGTTAAAGTCACATTTCTAATACTGACTCAGTCAGATGGGAAATTCAACATGATTGCTCTGTATCAATCCGACAAGTATCCACCTCAGGTCCTCATTAGGATGTGCTGACCCAGCCTTCCTTCCCACACTACAGCTGAACACTCATGCCTGCCTCCAGGGGAACGAACCTGACAGCCTGCATTCAGGAGGCAGGGTCCTACTTTCAGTCCACAAGGCAGGCACATCCTCAGTGCTGAACACCTTTGGTTCGTGTGAACATGGGGTTAGCAGTTCCCACCTGTTCTGTCTGTGGGACTCACAGGAAGACCAGGTTGGTTAGGACATGGAAAGCAGGAACTCGAACCTTCTTAGGTATTTCTAGCTGATATTAACCCAATGCGGAGGATTACTAGTCTAATTCAAAATGACTTCAACTTTATTTGCTCCCAGAAAAGTTTTACTATTCATTTGAGAAGTTTTAAAAGCTCTAAACTTCAAATACCCATGCTAAAGGAACACAGTGCTGCATGTGTCCCAAGTCAGTCGTAAGACAATTAGACCAAAATGGGGGCTGAAACATGAAGAAAGCAGGCCCAGACTACGAGCAGCAGGACCATAATTACCTGTCTCTCCCCACAGCGAGTCGGTGCCATTGACGTCTATTTCATGTTCCTTTTCCAGCCCCAGCAAGCACTGGACCACCTGTCAGAAGTGGCAAGGTGATTTAATGAGTTCCCATAGCCATATGTGCTTATTATATCCGTATATCAGAGGAGAGAGTGTGTTGTTTTTTAACCATGATTATCTCATGCTGCACAAGGAGAGAAACTATAATGAAAACCATTTTCAAGCATAATTCACATGCTATTCACACTTACACTTGGAGAAGAATTAAAAAAAAAAAAAAAAACTCCAAGAATTTCAGCAACAGTGTTCAGGATTACTAGGTACTCACAATTCTAATGAATTCCAACATGACCCAAATATGCCAGCCTAATCAACAAAGGACACGGGCGATGACGCAAAGTGCAGTTTCTGCATAAAATGCCAGAGATGGTGAATCCAATTTTTCCACAAGGGAGAAAAACAAGGTGATGTGTATCTTCAATAAACTAAAATCAACAGCACTGTCCAGATATTTTTCCACTGACACACTCTTCTTTTCTGTATGTGAACCCTCCTGGTCAAAGAGGAGGTTGGGTCACGGATCTGGAGGCAGTGCCCATCCCTGGGGGATGCATGTAGCTGCGCCCGGAACCAGCACTCACCCTGCCAGCCGCGGTGTCAGAGAGGAAGATGAGGCTGGCCTCCCAATATGCATTTTTTGTGGGGCCCCCACCCCCGCTGCCGCCACACACGCTATGTCGATATCCTAGCCCCAGAAACCTGTAAAAGATACTTTAGATGTGGCAAGCGGCAATTTGTAGATGCAATTATGCATTTTGAAATGGGAAGACTGTCTTGAATTATTGAGGTGTCTATCCACACACACCTGACCTCACATGAGTGTGGGTCAGAGGAAGGGGGAGCTGGACGACAGCAGCTTTCATTGGCTGTGCTGAGGGGCTTCTGCACAGCACCCCTCCCCCCAGCTTTAAATCAAGATGCACTGAACATGAATGAAGACAAAGGTCACTGCCCTTTCTAAAAGGCTTTTCACATTCTGGAAACACTCATATTTAAGAAACAGTAAAAAACAACTACATTTCCAGATATGTGTATTTAACATTCTCTGTGTGTCTATGTATACAGGCATTAAAAATATGTATAGTTCTATTTTAAAGTAACAATAAACCCATAACATGGTAACACTTAACACATTCTATATATGAGTTTTTACACTGAAACAGATAATATGCAAGTTGTCTGGTATTGTTTCATATTCTTGCAAATCTTTCTTTATGCCTGTCTTCATAGAAGACAGATGCATTCTCTTGTATGCATGCTTCTGCATTCCAATTGTTGCAATATACTGTGCTAGTTGCAATGAACTGTTTTCAAAAACAAGCCAAAAGTTAGCCAGCCAGCAGTGTGCACACATGTGTGTGCAGTACCTGTGCACGTGACTGTCCTTGTGTTTTAAATGCTAAAAGTCAGCCAGCCAGCTTAGTACCCAAATTTACTTTATCATAAGGGAAAAGCCCCCCAACACCAGCAACTATTATTTTGAAGACAATACTGAGTGAGAAAAACAGGGGAGAGAGCGGGTAAATGTTATTAAATTCACAGACACACGGGTCAGGAGATGACAATTAAATCTTCAAACTGAGGAACAGTGACATCCACCATAAGTAAGTGCTGTATTTAACTACTGCATGAAGTTTTCCTTCAGAGTAGGAAATGCAAATGACAAGCATCCTTACGTGTTATCAGAGCTCTGAAGTTCTATTTTTAAAAATCCTTCAAATTCTCAAGAACAATTTTAGAATTAGGATTCCATGTGATTATTTTTAAAAGATCATAAGGACAAAAGAATGAATCAAGAGAAAAAAAAAAGAAAAAAGACAGTAGGGCTCAAGGGTAAAAATAGAAGTGGGAAGGAAGGAAGACAAGGGAGAGCAGAGAATGAGGCTCATGGAAGAGCCAGGGAGAACGCAGTGCCCGTGGGCGCGGCACCCAACAGTTTGGATGCTCTTCTGTTTTTCCCTCGTGGGAAGGGTGCAATGCCAATAGATTTTTATACCTCAAATCAACTGCTCTTTCTTGAAATCCTCCTTTTCTTTCATTCCTTTCGTTCATCACAGGCTAGCAATTCAGGAGAAGATGAGAATGGCAAAGCATCTGACCAACTGGGCTTCAGTGTCCCCAGAAGCCACCTGGCGGCCCCTACTCACCGAGCTGTGGCCCATGCTGGCGGCCGCCGTCAGCGCCTGCTGGAGGGCGTGGCTCTTCCTCAGTGCCCCTGGCTGGGGCGGACCCGCCGCCCACTCACAGGTCAGTAGGTAGCGGAGGATGTCACCGTGGCCCCTCAGGGCACTATGCACCAGTGCACACTGGCCCTTCTTGTCCAAATGGTCCACCTGGGGCAGGGGCAGGAAAGGGTCACAGTTTAGCATCACCCTTCCTCTGAGCACACAGGTACACCACTGGTGCCATTTGAGAACCTCGCCCACTGTACATGAATGCATGCACCTCACAAAGATGTACATGCAGCCCAGAGGCAGCAGACAACCCATCCTTCCCTGTCTCTACCTGGGAAACTCTGGGCCCAGCTCAAGGTCAATCACACCTTGCTTGCAAATGGGTGCTGTGCACCTCACCCGAGGCTTTGTAAGAGACACCTGCATACCCCCAGCCCTCCTCCTACAGAGCTTTTAGCTGTGATGGGAGGGGCCCTGCCAGCCTCAGAATAAAACCAAGCCACATATGGAAATGGTGGGGTGGGGATGTGCCGTGACACACCAAGAGGGCTTCACAACAACATTCCCTTCCTCTAAGAGCAGAAGTCCATCTGACTCAATGTATTTTTCAGAGAAGAAGCAAAAAGACTCCCATAGTTATTACAAAGCCTAATTATCTTTTTGTTCAACTTTAAATATCCTAATAAACTATAAAGAAGCAAGACAAGTATCCGTGAATTCTTCCTTTTGTTATCAGAAAGCACATTCTCTCTAACCTCCATTGCGCCCCATGAAATAGTAAATCTAAATAGATTATCACAAGCTCAGTTGGTCTTTTGCCATTGGCAGTTCTAGAATAACTTGTTTAATAATGGTTAATTCACATTAACGTTAATACGTCGATTAATTTATGCTCAAACCCTCTCATAGCTAATGCTGTTGTACTCATTTTACTGATGAGAAGCCTGAGGGACACAGACTAAACTACCCACCCGAAGTCCTAGCTTGGCAAGTGGAGAAATGAGGATTCCCGCCATCTGGCTCCTACAGCCAGGCACTCAAATACACAGCTTGTAAGACCCAGAAAGCTCATTTTATTGTTGAAAAAGAGACATGAAATAAAACAATAAAAAGAGGAAAGGGTTAAAATTACCAGGCCTTTAAAATCTTTCAACCAGCCCACTACCACATTAAATTCTCAGGTAGTTCCAGGTCATCACTTGCAGGCTTTTTAAAGAATGGCCCCAAACATATCACTGGTGCCAGGAGGGACCCTGAACCCCACTTCTACTTGGCAGTGTTAAGCAGAGGAAGAACTGATGAACACACACCCCTCTCTTCTCTCCAGGGCTGTGCACCCAAGTGCCCACCTCAGGAACTCATGCTCACAGGCGCCTGCCCAGCCACCCTGCTGTTTACGGGATGATATCGGATCATCGCAATTCGACAAAGCATGGATGACAAAAGGAAGGCCTGCCCCAGCTACAAGGATTCTAGCAAGGAGGTAAAAATATACCGCCTCCTCCCCTACAGCAGAGCTGGCTGAGCTTACCCTCGCCCCCTTCTTGGCCAAGAGGCACACCAGCTTCATGTGGCCAGCAGCTGCGGCATAGCACAACGCCGTCATGCCATTCTCCGACATTCCATCCAGGCAAGCGCCAAATTCCAAAAGCAGAGTGACCACTTCCTCATGGCCGAGGTGAGACTGGACACACAGGATCGGGGCGTTGTTTAACACTTCCGTCCTGTAGTTCACGTTGGCCCCTCCCAAAATCAGGAGGCGGCTCACCTGTTGGATAATGCCCCCCAACAAGATTAATTTCTGTATCCTCGTTGTAATGCAGTGGTTCTCTAACCTGGGTGTATGCCAGTGTCACCTAGAAATGCACTGAAAATGCATTCTTGGTGGTGGCAACGTAAAATGGTGCAGTTGCTATGAAAAACAGCATGAAGGGTTCTCAAGAGTTAGCAATTCCACTTCAGGGTATACATCTCCGTAATCTGCAGGGAACATATTCCAAGACTCCCAGAGCATGTCTGAAACCCTATACTATATACTAACTTGTATCCTCTATATACATGCCTTTGATTAATTTCAATTCATAAGTTAGGCACAATAAGAGATTAAACAAAATTAAACAATTATATTACTGTAATAAAGGTTATGTAAACGTGGTCTCTCTCAAAATGTCTTGTTATATAGTATTTTTGGACTGTGGTTGACCACAGGTAACTGAAAGCGTGGAAAGAGAAACCTTGGATAAGGAGAAAAGCTGCATGTTCAAAGGAAATAAAAGCAGGATGCTGCAGCGATACCTGCACTCCCGTGTTCACTGCAGCACTATTCACAACGGCCAAGACGGGGAAGCCAACTAAGACGTCTGTCAATGGTTGAAAAGACAAAATGTGGTAGGTACATATTATGGGCTATCATACAGTCCTTAGAGGGAAGGAAATTCTGTCACACACCACAACACAGGGTAAACCTTGAGGACACAATGCTATGTGAAATAAAGCAGCCCCAAGACAATACCGAAGCCCACATAAATGCAGTATCTAGAGTATTCAGACTCATAGAGACAGAAAGCAGAATGGTGGCATCCAGGAGTTGGGTGGGGGGGTGGAAATGAGGATTGTTTTCATGAGTACAGAGATTCAGTTTTATAAGAGAGCTACTACTAAAGCACATTCCCCAGCTCCTCTTGCTGGATTCTGGTTCAATAGATTTGGGGTAAGACTTGAGAACAAGCACTTTTAACAGACTCCCTGGTGATACTGATGCTCTTGGTCTGGGTTGCACATTGAAAAAAAATCACTCATCAAAATAACAGACATAACATTTTATTCTAGCAATCCCAGGATTAACTAACAGTGAGACAACAAAACTGAAAATCAATACAAATACTCTCCTTTTCTTTACAAAGAAGTGTACCTACAAGAAAAGGCAGAACACCTGAAAATGTTCAAAGGAAAATGGGTCGGTACATACAATGGAAAATGTACATATGGTCCTGGGACAGTCAGCAGCACAAGACTCCTTGAAAATAACCTGGTTTTTTTCCTACTAAATACTATATCCACCTCCCACTAAATTCTTCAGATCCAGATATCGGAGCAAGTTCTTCACAGATTTTAAATTAAAGTCATTGGCTACCTTATGCATATTTTAGCTATACTGTATCTTCTCCAAATCTCCAGATCACTGAAAAAAATGACACTCCTGAAAATACCTGTGGAGACACCCACTGTGTTTCTGAGAGTTCCCTTCAATGCTCCTGACCAACATCAATCACTCTTGACAGATCCTGGCAGATCTCCAGCCTGTCTACAAGGTGTGAAAATCAGAGACCATGTCATGTACTTGACCAGAGAGACCCGGGATCATTAAAAGATACGGCAGGAAGCCAAGGCATACAAAATTCAAGGCATTCCAATGATATGCAACCACAGGAGCAGCTGACAGAGTATTTACAAACTGATAGAAAAATTAGTAGGTGGCAACATTACACATCAACAGTGTGACAAGCAGGTAGGCAGGTTAGGACATAAAATGTATCCCTGAAGAGGTGTTGGTTGCTAATAGAGCTGGCACCCATGTGGCCTAGTCCTCAGTTCCCTCTCTGATCTCCTCTCCCAGCACCCTTCCCTTTGCTTCTCCCATTGTCAACCCCCCTACTGAGGTCATTCTGGGTCTGCTTGTCATAACAATGGCAGGCAGGCCCCAGCCTGCTAACATTTACCCTTATGGCTCCATCTGCCCTTCGCATAAATGCAGGTGACAAAGAACCACATCCTATGTGTCTCTGCTCCAAAGCTAGGACACGAGAAAGATGTCACCCCACCTTATATAGAAGACTCCCACTCTTCCTCACACACACATCCCACTTCTGCAAACACCTGTGTACGTGCATTAACCCCAGGCACTCTCTATTCCTCCACACTCTCCACTCAGCTTAGTTCACAGCACCAATGGCTCTAAGATTCAGATGTTCACAGAGAAAAGGGTAAAACAGAAGCCTCCATGGACACAGATACCCACATTTTGGAAAGCATCACTTACAGTTAAGGAAGGGCAAAGCACGCACAAGTGCAGGAGAGCGTCCATAAGCCATCAGAGGGGGCCATCTGCTAGTTCCACCCAGCTAAGCATCAACCACCCAACCCCCACCACCACCCAGCACCAGTGGATGGAAAAGCAGAAAACACACTGGTGAAAAACTAGAAAAGGCATCCCTCTGACTGACATTTCACACATGACCTTGGGTGAGCAACCTAATCCCTGTCAACCTGCTCCACAACCCACATAGCTTTGCTCTTAAAAACAGAACCAGACTTGGATAGGATTCAAAAGTATTTAAAATTTTAAGTGCTCATCAAAATAGGTTTCTAGAAAGCTATTCCCTTTGAGGAACTACTTTTTCTATAGACAGACTAGAACAATGGTGGAGAAATTCTTGGGATTTTATCAAAACCTACAAATCAGTTCTTAGTAAGAGGAGTACAGAAGAACCCTGGTAGTTTTTTCAAAACATGCGTAACATCACTGAAGGGCAGATTAGAATCTGGTCACCACAGGTCAGGCAGAAACAGTCTGTAAATTCCCTGGGTGACTTTGACAGCCTGAATCTTCTCCCTGCCCACCAATCCTATCAGATTCACAAGTCTAAGAAAATGGTGATGGATGATGTGTTCCATCAGCCCCTTGAATAACGTGCTGTGTGATTTTCAGGAAACTGCTCAATGTCTCTGTTTCAGGTCCCTTCAAGAAAACAGCAGCGTGCTATCCATACTCTCCAATAGGTACTCTCTGCTAACAATGTTGGAGAATGTACTTTCAGTACTTGCTGAATACCTCACAAGACGTTACCTTTAGGCCTTCCCTAAAGATGTTCATCAATCACATTCATCTACTTCTTTGAAAAAAATATTTTTTCTGTTGGTACAATGCAGCACAATTTTACCACTCAGCCCCCAGATTGCAATCTTACCCCAGTGCATGTTTCTTAGCCCGGCTACACACCGAAGCCACCTGGGAGCTTGAAAGTTTCCAGCGCCTGAGCCCCACCCTTGGAGATTCTGACTTGGCTGAGGCACAGAGAGTCCCAAGTGATTCCAGTTGGCAGCCAGGACTGTAAACACCTCAGTGATAGATGCATCTGCAGAGCACCAGGAACCCTGCCAGCTATCTGATTTGGGGCAAGCTGCTAACGCCTCAGCCTTAGTTTCCTCATTCAAAAACTGGAGTCAACAACAGTTTTACTTCTTTGTGATGTGATGAAGATTAAAAATGAATGTGTCTCACACACACACACACAGAGCACTAGCACAGTCCTCAGCTTCCTGTAAGTGCTAAGTAAATATTAATTGCCGGTGTTACAGTCACATCTCACGAAATCATTTAGAGGAAAGGGTCCAAGTCCCTGGCAAGGCACAGCAGAAAGCACGGTCCCAGGTGCCTGGTGACCTGGATCTTACCCACCTGGGCTGTTCACCAGCTCAGGGCACCAGAGAGACCCCAGGCTTATCTGAGGACAGACATGAGTCATCTGGAACCCGTCCACACCTCGTGAAGGCAGCTCTGCTCAACAGCCACCAACAGGCACATCCAGAGTTCTCACATGCCTCTAGCAGAGTCACCACTGCTTCCAGAAGGGAGTAAAGCACCAATAAAAGGAACTCACTTGAACATAGAGTACATGCCAGGTAATTTTCCAAGAGTTTTACAACCTCAGTGAGGTCTCCCACAGCTCATCTGTGCCTTAGTTTCACCAGTGAGAAGACAGTGTCAGAGGGTAAGGGCAGGCCAGCTGGCACCAGGCTCGCCGCTGCCAAAGGGCAGTCTAGAGGCAGAACCGCACTCCAGCAGAGGTGACGCTGCACTCCAGGAAGGGCTTTAGGTGTCCACGCTCAACACCTCCCCCCATGTACATGGAAAGTTTCCTGTCATCACAATAAAATGCCTCTCATTAGGTAACATTCAGTGGCAATATTAATAAAATATTGGATTTAACAAATGTAAGAAAACAAATGAGGAGCAGGGATCATGAGGAACAGAGGCACGGGCCAGTCAGCCCTGCTGCTCAGTGTTCTCAGTGAGTGTCCACGGCCGCTCCCATCAATACAACACGGTGAAGCAGGTATGCCTGCTCCTCTACACCAAGGGAAGGGAGGCCAAAATCCACACTTAACTCTTATCTACTCCCCTCCCTGCCCTTGACTGAGAGGAAAGTCAACCTGAACTCCCCCGAGTCCATCGCCTTGAGAAGCTGAGGCTGGGAGACAGTGGGATGTGAGCAAAACAACCAGGAGGCTGGGAGCCTAGAGGCAGGGACCCAAGAGGACAGGTAGGGCCCGGCGGGCATGACCCTGACCTGATAATGGGAGACCACACTGTCAGAAATCACTGGCATGCCACGGAAATTAAAATCCAAGTAATCTACCACGTAATCATTCCTGAGCAAGTCACTTTAATTTACCAAATTGGCAAACTGCAATTATTGTTCAAAATGACAGTCATTCCTGTATGACAACATTTAATGCTCTCTAAAAAAGGTCCCTTAATTGCATGCATAATTTTAAATTACTGTAATTTGTTCAAGATTCTGTGAAAACCCTTTTTTCTTTTGAAAGATAAAAGAAACAAAGATAATAGGGAGCCTTAAAATTCTATAACCAAGTTAAATAATTTGGGGGCTAGTATAGATGTAGGTCATCCTGGAGTTTCTACAAAAACAAAGTAAAGATGAATTACTCTTAAAATTGCAAGTATGTTGAAGAGAAAAGTTTATAATCCCGGGAGGGTCAAGCTCATTACATTTTAATCCATACCTTTTAATTTATTGTCTAGAAAGCTCATATTCAACAGAGTGCCACATTTTCCATTTACTTAACTCCACATTAAAATAATTCTGTGCCCATAATTCATTACATTAGTGAAAACAGATATTACCATTGCTATTCATGTTTCCTCCTTGCTGTCATTATACAGTTTTATTAATTGTGGAAAAAATCAAAAGATATGCTTTAGCTGAAAGGAATGATAAAACAACATTATAACAGTAACTGGGACTTCATTATGTGAAGGTTAATTTAAACTCAGCCCTTTTCCCCACCTTTCCTTGGAGTGACTCCATCTACAAAGAAGTTCCCTTCTTTGATTAACAGCAGCAGTTTGGACTTAGTTATCTGGAACTATAAAAACCAGGTCGCCTGTCCATCCACCCCCATGGGGTTCTGTTGGAAGGCAAGCATTCAAACCCTCAAATCCAGATAGTGAGTGAAAATGTATGAGGGAGCAGGCAGAGTGCAGGGCTTGCCAGGAGTTTTTCTCTGGGGTGCGCTGCCCCCAGGCAAATCAGGCTAAAACCCAAAGTGCCTGCTGCTCATCAGGCCTGGAGCCCTAACGAAGGCTGAGTCCACCTGCACAGGGTGGCACTTTTAGCTTTGCAAAAACCATCTGCACCCACTACGGCGGGGAGTGGACTTTCTGTAATCGATACAGAGCCCCAGCACTGGGCACTGACCCGACGAAGAGCACTGCTAAGTTCTTCTGGACCCAGGCTCCTCAGTCATTGTCATACTCTCCCCTTTATACAGCAGGAAGTGGAGATGTAATGGAGAGCACGGTGACTACAGTTAACACTGTGTGGTGTGTTTTAAAGTTGCTAAGAATGATCTTAAAAGCTTTCATCATAAGGAAAAATGTAATTATGTCTGGTGATGGATGTTAATTGGACTTACTATGGTGATCATTCTGCAATGTATACAAATACAGAATCATTAGGAGATACACCTGAAACAAATATAATAGGTCAATTATATCTCAACTAAAAAGAAGAAATACCTGGAAAGCAGGGGTGGGAGAAGAGGTGGCAGAGCACACCTCTGCCAGATGTGGGAAAGTGTGCATAAGGCAAGACCCCCATATACACACCCAGGTGTAGGTGCTGAAAGGCGGGAGTTTGGACAGTAGATGCAGGGAGGAGCAGGAAGCCCCTGAGTATGTTCCTGGGAGTGAAGGAGCCATCTCTGGAGCATGAGGTCCCCTTGCAGGTGCATTTGATGAACCAAAGTGAGGAGAAGTAGAAGACAGATGTCCAGAAATTTCCAGATTCTGGCATGTCCTTTGTTGCAGGACCACCTTGGGCCAGCCTGGTGCTTTACAGGGGGAACAGGTCTGATCATTTTCAAGGTGGTGAATTGAAGGGAGGACCCACACCTTGGAAAAATACCTGCTTGCTTTTGCAGGCAGCAAGGCAGGTGGGGTTTGGGGGCAGAAAGGCCTGGAGTTTAGCAGTGAGGAATCTAAATCAGGAAGACACTTAGAATCTCCTTTTACTTTGCACTGAAAAAAATGGTTGTAAGCTGTTACAATGTAAACTAGTAATTCCCAAACACTGTGGAAGTCATCCTTTCTTTGTCTTATTAGCACATACTTGGCCACTGTGTACTTTATATTCTTAGACTGCATTAAATAAAAAAGGAAAACATACCCTAAAATGCTCATTTGATATTATGACATGACAGATACTGGCCAAGAGGGAGGAAGCTCCTGGCTCACTGGCAGGTTGACTCTGCGCTTTCCAAACTCATAAATACACACGGACAAAACCTTCAGTAACAGTTTTCATCTATAGACCTATGGCTTTGTGTCACTCATCAATGTTTAATTTCCTATGAACCATAAGATAGCCTGGATTAGAAACCTGGGACATACTTTTGAAAAATCAATTTTCCTGAAAAGCTCCTTCGGACCTTTGGTTTCCTTTGTGAATTGCTTCCTTATCACATCTGCTCTGAAACAGTCACCAAATGCTCACATAGCATCCCTGACCACCCACAACTTCCTGCCTGAGCAAAAGCTAAGCTCCCAGCAGAGAGCCCCTAATAGAGCATTTAGTTCTGTGTGATACACATCAGGGAAAAAGCATCACTAGAAGTTTCTCCACCTCTGGCCACCAGCCAGTGCAGGAGTCTGTGGGAAGAATGGCCAGGGGTTCTGGCTTTGTTGCAGAGTTGGCGCTCACCTTCACATTGGGAGTGTAGAGATTCCTGAGAGAGGCGAGGGCAGCAGATAGCCCCTCAGTGCTGTACCCAATCCACAAGGCTTGGAGATGGCTTGATGAGATTCCCGTCTTCTTACTGAGCCCCTGGAAGCAATCAGAGAGAAATCAACCTCTGCATCCTTTCCCATCTGCAGTGGTCTGAAAGAGGTATGTCCCAGAGGATGCAGATAAGTGCTAGCAGGTGGCAAATTCTGTTAAGTGCACAAGAATGCCTGTACCTATGAGCCTTCCTGCCCAAAAAATCAATGGTCAAGGAGTCAGTGTGCTTTAGTTATGTGAACTGTATAGCTGGGGAAAGAGATGGCAAGAGATGAAGTTTTTCCTTATAGAAGTTCTGCAGTAAATTAAAAGAAGGCTACATGGTACAGTGTCACTAGTCAGTAACCCCCTATGGAGTGCATGTGTTCAGGCAGAGCGGGTGGCAGCTGACAGCACCAAGAGAAGCAAGCACAAGTGCTATGCATTCTGATGCAAGTAACTCAGCAATATCTTCTTTAAATTAAGTTTAAAAGGAATGGTGCCATTCTGCCCCTCAAAAAAACAAACAAACAAACAAACAAACAAAAAAAAAAAACCCTGAACCTGATTAAGCCTCTAGATAAAACTACCAAAGGATAGGAAATCCACGGGAAAGAGATACATATTAAACTAGGCCATGAGAAGAAAGGACACCATCAGAAAATCCAGGCAGTACAAAAATATGGAGGTTAAGTAATTCAGGGCCTTTGACAAATAAATAAGGGAACACAGGGAATCTTCAGGCAAAAAACTAAAAGATTTAAAGGGGAAAACTGAAACCCATAGTATTCAGACACACACTGGAGTGATAAATTATAAAGAAATGCAAGGAAATTATTACAAGGCAGGGAAGTGGCTACTTTCAGGGAGGTAGAGGGGGTGGTGATTCTCACGGGCCTTGTGGAGGGCTGATTAAAATTGTGGAAAGTGTCCAAAACTGGACACTCAAAATGACAACAGGGAATCAACAAATCCCGCATCACAGTGCTGTGTCTCACCTTGAAAATGTGTGCCTTCAGGATGTGATGGCCGAGCTCCATGGTCTGCTGCCGGTTCAACTTGCCCTCCTGCCGAGAGAACATGAACGCCAGGAGAGCATGTCCGTTCCTAGGATGAGAAACACAAAGCCCGTGACAGAGACTCCACTCCATCACAACTGCCCCGTAGGCCCTGGGGTGTGGAGGTCACCACATGGCTGGCCCCCTGAACTGTCCCCCAGCAGCACCACCTACAAAATGGGTGAAAAGCTGCCTTTTACAAAATGTGGTGAATGCTGCTTACTCAAGTCATTTTAAGAGCTTTGTCTGGATCCCCCCAAGTCTGTGGAGAGACCCAGAGAGAAGCCCCAGGACAAAGCAGGTCTGTATCTTTGGAGCCACCCACTCCTATTCATCATCCGTCACTCCCTCTTTGCCTTATTTGTTGATTTATGTCTACTACACAAAAAAAAAATGTAAACTCCATGAGATTTGAAGCCTTGTCTAAATCATAGCTACAGTCACAATAGGGAACAAATGCCCAACACTTAACATATGTAATTCTTGCATGGATGGAGGTACAAATGGACAGATGGAACAGAACTACCACTGAGCTGGGTGCTCAGGCCTCCCCTCAGCATGAGCACCAGTGGTGGCAGACCTGAGCCAAAGGACAAGGCGTTACAAAGGGAAGGAAAGCAAAACCAGGCCATGCATTGCAACAGTACATGATCAGGAGCACAAAGAAGTCCGGGCTTGATGGGACATAGATACTTGAGTGGGGGAGAAAGCTAATATGTATGAGTGTGTCTGCTGTTTCTACGCACATTCTACTGACACCAGCAATTAATCCAGGCTAATCCTTTCATGAAGGGGCCCATCTACGAACTTTCACCTCCACATATACAGGACTCATTCTTTCTCTTTGGGGACTCCACGCAGGCCTTTGCCTGAGACAATCTGAAAAGGATGCTAAGGGTTGCTTAACCCAACAGCAGAGACTTCAAGCCGATGTGAATTATTTTGATTTCTATGAACCTGGCAACACTGAGGTAGTGATTTGTTGAGGAAAAGCAGGCAGTTCCTAATCTGGGCGATCAAAAGCATGAATCATTTAAATTGTATTTACCTGTGCAGAGGCATGCCTGTTTTTCAAAGTTATAAACCATGTTAGAGATGAGGAAATCAAGATAGGTAGAGACCAAAAGACTGCTTTTTATATGCTGGGAAAGGCAGGACTTTTAAGGCCACACTGCAATTCAGTGTCCCATGCAATGTCTTGTTAGAGTCTGGAGCGCTCCGTGAGCATTGTCTACCCCCTAGAACTCAAGCTGGCTTTTCCCTCAGATGAGAGCCTCCCACATCCCCACCTCTGGGGCTCCCTCACTCTATGGAAACTGTTCTCTGCCCCCTTCCAGTACCCACATCTTTGACAACCTTATTGTTGGGGTCCCACGGTTAAACCTGGCCCGAATCACTCCAGTCAGGCCACTTCCAACCTGGGCCTAAGCCATCCTCACTCTCAGGCTGTGGCCACACTGTGTCCACCGCAAAGCCACACTCAGCTAAGTACCTTTGCTGGGAGTTGTGCCAACACCATGAGCTCAAACGACTGAAAACCAAAGCCCAGTTTCGTCTCTGCAAAACCAGCCCCAGGCCTACTGCCCTTCTCACACTTTCTAAGAGCAACATCAATCCCAGTTTCTGAAGCTGAACACCCTGACTATAGCACCTCCTTCTCCTGGAGGTTTACACAGACATGAGGTATCCATGATGTGTCAAGCAAAAACATCAGGATGGTAATTTCAACACGGAAAAGATGAAATGGACTATGTTTGAAATGCATGAAACAGGCAGAAATTAAAAGTGAAGTATCACTGTCTCTGGATGTTATCTTCTAGCACTTGGATTTTTTTTCTTCTCTGTAACTGGGGCAAATTCACAACTTATTGGGGTGAGAGGAGAAATGCTACCCCATCTTTCAAGGCCCAACCCAAAAGTCACCATGTATTGAATCATTTCCCAGAAATTGTCTCCCTCAACTGGAAGCTTCTCTCACCAAAAGCCCCACAAGCAGTGTGGCTCCCTCCCAGTGTCCTCCCAGCCTGTCTCAGCAGACCTCCTGTGAGGGAAGCCCTGCAGAGCCAGTGCTTGTCCCAGAAATCTCTGCATCAGTCACAGTACCCTGTATATAGGTCCACAAAAACTGATGAACTGAATCCAGCAGCTTCCTTTCAACATCATTCCATACACTGTTTGCTCCAAGAAGTCCAAGGACTATCGCAGTCCTGGGCAAATGCTGACTTGCACAATTTCAAGGAGTGCCTCCTTACACTCTGCACCCCGAGGGCCTCAGCCTACTCCTGGTCCTAGTCCCTACTCAGTCCCCACACCAGCTTACAGGGACACATCAGCACTCAGGCGTCTGTGATTGCAGGTTATAAATCGAATGACCCATCAGTCACCCCATTCTCAGTTCTGCCCAAGGCTGCATAACATCAATGCCACCTTCTACCCATACCAGAGAGCAGCTTAACTGCAACTATAATCTGAAACTTTGCCTCAAACCCCAGTTAAAAAGCTACACCCCACGCCCAAGTCTCTCAACTTATTTTTATGTTTCTACGAACTCAACTGTAGCCGACCTTCCTAAAAAGTGATCTGATTTTCTCTAGAGACATGACTTAAATACCACAGCACAATTCTTGCCTAGTTATTATGGTCTGGCTACCTGAAGTTACTGTTTATTACCCCAAACCAGTTTTAAAAGGAAAGTTTCTGGTCCAGTGTCACCTAACAAAACAACACTATCACAGCATGAAATGGCAGCCAGGCTAGTTAGGCCAATGTTAAGTCACTATTTGTGGGGAGGAAGTTGGTCTGTGGCTCACAAGTGTTAATTCTCTTCTTCATTTTTGCACCCCGGCATCTGGTCAAATGCCTAGTCTGGCACAAAGGAGACAGTTTGCAGGTTGCCAGACCTGTTACAAGAGTCATGAGCAATTCTGTCTCACAGAAAGCAGAGGCTGCTAAAACAGCAAAGATGCAGGCCAAATCAGGATCAGGCAGAAGCGGTAGGCATGAGCATACCCTAATCTGAAGGCACCCACACCCTCCAATTCCTCAACCTCTCACACAGTTTGGCACCAGGCCACAGGCAGATAGGCTTACTACTGCCCTGTGTTCCCGGGTCAGTGAGGAGAAGCACACCATGGCCTGCTGCAAATCCTCAGGGGAAACTTCCAATCCCTGGATGCATGTGCCTACCACCATCTTTGTAAATGGGGCATCTGAGATCTGAACCGCAATCCTGCTGACAATGCATTCCCATTTGTTACCCAAAGCTAAATCGAAAAACCAAAACAAGGTGGCTGGTGTGACTGCGTGCTCCCCTTTGGGCCAGCAGGTTCATCCTCTCTCTGGGACAAGATGCTACCGCTCCAGCAGCAGTGGTGCAGTAATGGTGCTGAGCACTCAAGACACCTACAGACCGCCAGGTAAAGAAACCTAGTTATGAATAGCACCTAAAGAAGCCTGCTGTTCCCTTGAGCTAACATCACACTTTCCCATGTATAACCCCGAGTAGGGGGACAGGGTCTAGATGAGAACGTACAGCAAACAAGTATCATCTAGGCATTGCCTGGCTTCCCTTTCATCTAAATTTTCTGAGAAGGCTTAAAATTCCATTAATTAAAGGAGGAAAGCTTTTGTTCAGCAGCAAAGAACATTTTCTATGGTCCCTCCTGAATTATTCATTCTGTGTTACCCTTCCATTAAAGTGAATCGTGTTTGAAAGCCCTTCCCCGATTGCACATTAGACTCCCTGCAAGGAGCTGACAGAAAGCAGCCTGGTGTACCTGGGCTCACACAGGAAGGCCGTGTTTTCACCATCTGCTCTCCACACAAGCCACTCCCGGAAGGACGGGTGGCAGAACATGCGGGTTTTGTCTCGCCGCTTAATGAGGAAGCAGGAGAGGGCCTCCATCCTCTGCTGAAAGTCTTCCCATCCCTGCTCCCCTTGTATGTGGCCTGCATTAATAGCCTGGAAAATCTGCTCGTCCGTCATGGGGTGGAGGGACGCCAGGGTCACATTTAAAATCGGAAGTGCTCTCTCAAAGGCGGACTGGGTCATGAACTTCATGTTGCACTGCAGCAGGTACAGCTCAGACAGAGACACGGGTACCACCTTGTAGCTGGCACTTTTGATGACCAAGTGTCCCCTCTGGAAGAGATCCAAGGTGAGCTTGAGGTACAGGTAGGAGCCCAGGCTGCGCAGCACCAGGTGGCTGCTCACTTTTGAGATGAGAGCCGTGTCCGCCTTGCCGTTGAGGGAGATGTTGCTGAGGATGTCTTGGCTGCTGCGCACCCGGTGCTGGACATAGGCGTGTAAGTCGCTGTGAATGTCCTTGTTGTCAGGAAAGTCATCTAAGGAAAGCTTGACAAATGGCAGCGCACTTACAATTTCCTGCGGGAAAAAACCAAAGGCCCACAGTGTCAATCCATGGAGATTTTTTTTCCAAAAAGTTCAGGAGCATTTCAAACCAGACCCACTAGTTTTCTTTCAAGGAGGATTTTGGTGGATTTCAGGGACTCATTGTTTAGTATTAAAACATGTAATAGGATAAGTTGAAGATAAAAAGCTTATGTGAAAGAAATCCTGATGCAAGATCAAATCAGGGAAGGCTTTCCCGAGGCCCCCATCTGACGTTTCCCGAGGCCAACCTGACGTTTGTGCCCCGAGTAGATGACAGGGACCTGGCCATGTGGGCAAAGGGGCAGGGACCCTGTGGGGGATCCAAACATTGCACAGCTGGTTATAGAGCAAGGACAAACACAAGCTACTCTGCACATCTCAGAATAGTCAGTCGCCGAGATAAGAGTCCTGCCTGTTGTACATCAGTTATGAGCTGCATAACCCACCCAGGAAATCTGAAACTGCCCACGGCTGCTCCAGTGAGCCTGCTTATTAGCAAAGCTGCCCTACTTCAATATTGCCCACTATCAATGTTTAAAGTTGCTGGTGGGGAGGGGGTTAAGTAAACTTTTGAATTGAAGTATTTTATACAGAGGTGCACAAATTATAACAAATCACTTTTTATAATGTCAAATGCACCTGTGTAACTGGCCCCGAGAACATCACCATTCCCAGAAGCCCTGCCCTGTCCTGTCCTCCATCCAAAGAGGAGCACTTTCCTAATACCCACCAGTGGAGTTTGCCCACCCCCCTTTTTTAAAGCTTCCCACTATAGTTTCTAAGTATTTCAGACCATGTCATCATTTGATGTAATAACTGGAGGATGCAGGCTGAGTGTAAGTACCCCACTTTACATGAACACTAACTGAACCTCTGAAAACTTTCACAGGACCCCTGCCGTGGAGTGATACATGACTGAAAAGCATGGAAAGCAAATGTTTGTAAAAACAAACACCAAGTTCAACTGAGGTAACTCCACTTTTGATGAGAAACAAAGAACCTGAAGGCTACTTAAAAATAAATTCCTCATAAAAGGGCAAAAAGCAAAATAAAATGTCTTTACCAAAAAGGGTAAGAATAGAGGGAAAAGATCAACAGTTAAGATATAATTTGAGGGTTCAAATGAAAGAAAAAAAACCACCCTCTTCATCTTGCTGCAAGTGTTATTACCTTAAGTTCGAGTTTCATGAAAGAGACCTTGTTTCAGAACAGACCTTAAAAATCTCTCATTTATCCCTCCCTCTCCCCTTCATCAAAAAAAAAAAAAAAAGTTCCACTGCAAGCCTATGCAAATAACTCCAGCAGGAATAACTTTACACTCCACAGACCTATTAGTCAGACACCTCAAACAACTTTCCCAAATGGAATTACAGTAAATCTGGCAAGACAGTTGAGCCTTAAGAGCAAACTTACCTGAGGGCTTGATATATGTGCCCTGGGAAGTGGGAATGAGGATAAAAAGATCAGTCTCTTGCCTGTTTGAGAGCGCTATGGACTAATATTTCAAAGCTGTAATATAGTTTTCAATTCAGCAGCTAAGTGGCTCATAACAGTGTAAGATGTTAGTATTCAGCACTGTAAAATTCTGGGATGGGGAACTTGGAAAAAAGATTTGAGAATTCTCCCTCTTTTGGGCCCTTGCTTCTGAGATGACCAAGAAAGGAAGGAACCAGAGTCGTGCAAGAAAGGGTAGGGGCACATGTAGCAGCCATTTCACTGAAGCAAGAGCACCGGATGCCTGTCCAAGGACAAGGCTACTAAGCCTTAGGCGCAGTGGAGGCCGCAGCCTTCAGGGACATATCCACAGTGAGTGTCTCTGCCGCCACATGCTTCTAAGCTGTATGTGAAATTCCATGATGGCATCAGTTGTGCCCTTCACAGCAAGGTAGTCGGGAACTGTGAGGGACCAAACAACCCCCCCACCCCGACCCCACAAAATCAGACCTTCAGGTGCTGCCTGCCCCGTGGCCTCCACCAAAGCCTAGGTAAAGGAGCTAAAGACTTAAAGGCTAAAGAAACACTATCTCCTGGGGGAAAAAATACAACAGAAATTATACTTAAAAAGAAGATGTGAGACTCCTTTTTTACCTGAAAATTTGCTCGTACAGTCACAATCAATTTCAACCAGGCAGGAAATTTAGAGATAATTTTGGTAATAAATGAAGAAAGCGTATCTCCATAATCAGGTTTATGGAACTCAGCTTCATTTAAGCCATCTATCAAAATAATGTATTCTTCTTCAGGAATTTTCTGCTCTAAAGGATAAAATAATTGTTTTAAATTAATAAATTACATTTCTGTAAGATGGTACCACCCAGGGTATTTTAATGCACAGCAAAAAGTGTTAGGAGAAACTAAAAAAGGTTTACATATGGCAGAAGAGATGGTTTTCACAGAAGCATATTTTCTATTAAACTTATAATGAAAACCAGAACACAGAGCCAAAAGTAAACCAATTCTCACAGAACAGTTTCAGGAACATATTGCATTCTACACATTAGCAGAATCTCATCCATGTATATGATAGAGTTAAACTCCTGGCACTGGGGATAGTACAGCAAAGATAACACACAGAGATGAAATCTGGAAGACTCCAGGTTCCCCTGTAGAATTCCCCCAATCTGCCCCTGAACCGTCTGGCCGACGGTATAGTCAGCCGACACAGCAAGCCTGCTTTACAGATTCTGGGTACAAACTCTTTCCACAAGTCTGAATCAAGTTATTTATTTGAGTCAACTTTCTGCCCAGGAAACCAAGGAGGAATGACCAATCTGCTTCAATTCCGTCTCTCAGCGCCTCTGGCAGAAGTGCCATATAGGCTGGTCAATTAGCCCAAAAGGTGAAGAGTAAATAGGAAGAAGCTGAGAAACCAAAAGGCACAGACTAGCACTAATGTCCCCTTGCATAACATTCCAGGGCAAAAAGAAAAAAAAAAAATGCAAGGGATACTTCTAGAAATGGCATTAGGTTCAACTCACTGAGCAGAGGCTCTAAAAAACTTGCTGGCAAATTCCCCAATGAAATTTTTCCTCTGCAGTGTAAGAATACAAAATATGCAGGCAATGCTTTATAGAGCACAAGCCACCTAGATAACCCATTGTTACAAATTAGCTACCTTGGAAATGTTCAACTGTGGAGTTAATTCTTATTAGAGATGTGTGATTTAAAACTACACCATTCAGGGGGCACGCAGGGAGCTTGGGGAGAAAGGCCTGAGGAAGGAGACTCGAGGGGCACTGATGTACCACATCCTCTCCTTGCCCTCCACCCCACTCCCACCCAGGACCAAGCTGAGACCCCTCCTACAGAGAACAGCCCTAGGCTCTGGTAGTACTGAGAGGGTTAGGGTGGCTGCTCTGAGGTACCATTTCTCAGACTCGCAAGCGGTTCCAGCACGCCCCTCTTGAAGGCGGCTACTGGGTCCTGCACGCAGGATCTCAGGCTCAGCATGCTCTGTAGCTGGGGCTCCTTTATCAGCAGGTCTCTGTAGGCAGCCAATTGATGGGACCGGCAGAGCAGAGCCGCGATGCTGTGCACGAACTCAGGCACCAGACACGTGTAGGTGTTATCGGCCTGGCAGTAGTGGTAGGCCACGACCTACGGGAAGCAGAACTGTTAGCATCCTCACCCTCTTCACAGCCGCCCCCCCCCCTCCACGCTCTCAAACAGGGACAGAGATAAGACACCTTGCTTCTAATCCCCAACAGTGAGTCATTAAGTAGATTAATTGGTTCATTTATTCCTTCATTTGTTCATGTAGTTTGCCAAGTTCCAGGCAGACTTTTAATTGCAGCCACAAACCCATCTTGATTAGCACTAAGATGAGCACATAGTACTGTGTATTGAATATAAATTAATAAAAGTCATTTTGTAAAGCCTAAAGCCTACCCTGTCTTAAAGCAATTCCAAGCAATCCAACATTCTTGACATCCACACATGTCATCTTCACTATATTTGTTGTCAAAAATCTCCCTGGGAAAGTCATTTGATGCTTCCCCAAAAGCAGATAGTAAAAGTAGTGGCTGGGCAGTGAAAAAACAGATGTGCCTTCCTCCAGGCAGCCTGGGTCAAGCCCTCAGCTCCCACACAAACATTCCAAGTGACAGTTGAAAATTTCCAAGGTGAACATTTCGTGAAGGGTCAAAATCAGGAATCACCAAATTTCTGCCTACTGTGTAGAGACATGTAGGGGGACAGCAGTTCCTGCTCAGCCGCTGTGAGGAGGAAGACCTTTCTTTGTTGAGAGAGACTGGAAGTGGCAGCAGGTTATCTGTCAGAGAGACCCTAAGGGAAGTGGCAGGTGCAAATTCTCTTGGGAGTGAGAGGTACCATCAGATAAATGAGAAACCGAACACTTTTCAAATGAGCAAGAAAGGAGGAATATAAGCATGTAAGGAGGAATATAAGCATGAAGTAAGGAAGCTAAAAAAGATCAAAGCACACTTCTATGAAGTGTTTTTCTGAAGAGTCTGGGTCCCTGCCATCCCACATGGCCTGATGACCCCTGCTTGAGTAAGATAAGAACTACTGGCTCTGGCCATGGCTGAGGCCATCACACACACAGGTTAAATGTCCTTCCAGGTGACACAGATAGTCAGTGCAAGAACTGGGATGAGATTCCAAGTCTGCAGATTCTTAAAAAGCAAGAAGCAAGAGTAGGTGTGGCCAGTTTGGAACTGCCATGTGACTCCTATTTTAGATTAAATAAATCATTAATACCCTAGGAAACAGAGATTAGCAAGAACATACATGAGCTGCCTGGACAAACCATCAGCGACACAGCAGTACCACAGTCCACCAGCACGGGGTTTGACAAGAAGCTGACAACCCAGCCTTTGTGAAGTCAATTTGAAGCCATGACAGAGGGTATTATAAGACAAACACTATCTGATTTCACTTATATGTGCTATATAGAGAAACCAAACAAATGAATGAAACAAAAAATTTTCAGATTCTAATAAGACCCATTATGGTTACTAGACTGGAAAGGAAGAGGGGTTGGGTAGAACAGGGAACAGGGGTCAAGTGTATGGTGAAGGACAGAGCTGGACTTCTAGTGGTGAATACTGATGTTGATTTACAACAACAGGGAGCCCAGGCAGCACACGTGAGAATTACCTGCTTTAATGCAGGAGCTCAGCTTATGAACCTGTGATAGATGTTGAGCAGATGGAAATTTTCAGAAGGACCTTGATAACAACAAATACAAGAAAAGAACTCCAGCCATGTCTCTCTCACACCATCACAAAGCTTTGACAGAAAGCTGCAGGAAGCAAGGGGACCTGGCAATGGGGTGCAGGCAGAAGAGGCCCAAGTCCATGAAAGCTCCCTATTTTTATACCCAATGGAGGAGAGCACATGCTGGTCAGGGTGGATTTGTGGCAAGTGCAATGTTTTCTGCTGCTCTGAGGATCTTTTAATTCACTGTTTAATAGGAATAAAAGTCTCTTGTCATGGCTCTAAAAAAGATTTCTGTTCATCAATACTTTTTATTTGGAGTACTCTATCATAATGTCATCAAAAGTTATCCTTTTGCATTAAGTAGTTCATTGTCTGTACTTTATAATTCTTCTGTCCAAAGACAATCCAGTCTCCGTCTCTCACTGTTGCTCTAAGACCCCCCCCAGAAGCAGAGAGAACCTTAGAAGCAAGCTGTTTTGCTGCATCTTCTCTTGGTCTCTGGCTTTCCTGGGTGTCAGCCCCTACCCCAAGGGGTGTCTTAGCTGTGTTGGTGCCACTTCCAGAAGTCGGTGAAAGCAATGGGGTGAAAGGAAGATCTTGGGAAGAATCTGAAGCTGCAGGGAAAAGAGACCAGTTTCATTATTTACAACATCAGAAATGGGGACTGTGGCATTGAATCTATTTCTTTATTAGACCCAGAGTATTTTAATATGTAAAGAGTGAATTTGTAGCAAATGCAAATTTACAAATGAGAATAAAGTTTTCTTTCTCAGCCCTATTCCCCTCCTTCCATCACCCACCCAATCGCCCTCCCTGGAGAAATGCTGTTTCTGGCTTTCTTTATTAAATTATTTTTCTTTAAATCTTGTATGGCTCCTTGGCTCCTGTTCACACTGTTAGACATTTTCTTTTAATGGGTTTTTTGGTGCATAACATAAGCCATGAAGAGTCAAGTCCTTGGCTATTCCATCCCATTTCTAAGGTAGTTTTTATACTTTGGGTAATCCAGTTTACAAGACAAAGGCTGTGGGAAAAGGGAGCAAAGAATTCTGCACCAGACTCCTATTGGTTTGTTCTGTCAGGAGCCTAACCCCCTTGGGGTTTCAGCACCAAAAATTCCCCAGGGCAGTTGAGCAGGCCTCACCGCCCCACCTCTGCCCAGATAAAGGGAGACAGGCCGTCCAGCGGGGACGCCAGGGAAGGCTGGCCTCGGGGGCAGCGGGGAAGGCTCTATGATAGATGGACACTTTCACATAGTTCTCTAACAAACTTGATGCAGCAGCTGGAACAAGTTGAGGAAAATGGGGAATTTATGTCTCTCCAAACAGCAATTTCCTCCCACTATCTTATATTAATATAATAAACGAGACAAGTAATTAAACATAGACATACTTTTAGGTGATGAGCCGGGGCTGTTGGAAGCAATCTGTCTCATGCGGCTTCCGTGGCAGCTGAGCGCCACCAACTTGGAAATGATGGCCGTCTTCCCGAAGCCCACGTTTCCAACAACCACCGCGCCTTTGTTTTCTGTCAGCTCTGTGTTCTTCAGGTTTTCTTCTATCTGGTGAAAGAGCCAATCCCTTCCCACGAACACAGAGTCTGTTGTTATGCTTGGTACTTCAAACAACAGGGGTTTCAACAAAATGTCTTGTGGCTTGTAGGGAGCAAATCGCGCTTTGGGGGAAAAAAAGGACCATTATTTTAAAAGAATGTCTTCATATTAATAGTTAAAAAACTCAATCATTGTATGTTCTGTGCTACACTTGGTATAGCAGTGAGTGTCCCCACAAGGGAACTGTATTTCCAATCTGCTTCTATTAATACTTCTGTACTACCTCATTTATCATACCCTTTGTCTTACAAAGTGTCCTGTTAAAATGACTTCTGCAGTACTCTCATGCTCCTAAGCTATTCCTGTGACCCACGGCAGACACACAGCAGATAAAGTGATGCAAGGACCAAATCATGTCTCATCAGCTTCCTGGAAACAGTACTTAGGACGAGTTTCTTCCACTACCATGTAGGCAAAATGGAAATGTGTTCCCTGGAGTCAGGGACCCAGCTCTCATCTGGGTGTGATGATGTTTTACATATATGGCGTGTCTGCTGACCACACAAGTGTGCAGCCAGGCAGACCTGGGAGGGAGCCAGTTCTGTCCAAGGAACTGCAACAAAACTGCCTTTTGTTTGTTTATATACAAAAAACCCTAGTGAACATTAAATGACCCCCTTACTTCCAAATAACATATTGCAAGCTTAAGTTTCAACTCTAGAAGCAAGTTAACCACATAGGTTAAGAATGAAGCCCCAAACCGTTTTGTTTTTTTTTTTGAAGCCCCAAACTTTTAAAAGGATAGCCTAGTGTACCTTATAGATAAACATTTGGTGCACATACTTAACATCCTGTTTCAATACAGTGGGTTTACATGTTGGTGATGGCAGACTTCTGTGCTAAGGGAATGAGCCCATCCTGTCCACTATGACAGAAGGATAAGTACCTTTGACTTCCTGTGCCCTACCTCCAGCTGTGTTGTGCCAAGGTAACCTAATGGATGTTCGAAGAGGAGCATTTCTCTGTCCATCTAAGTAGCTCAGATCTTCCAATTTGGTTGAGCTTGTTGCTGCAATATTAAACCAAAGTTCAGTATTTTCAAAGTTGAATTAAACACCCTACCCAAACCATTCTAAATTATCAATGACTAAGCAAGTTTGTTCAGGCTTTTAACAAAATTTACTTCAAGGGGATTTTGGTTTTGCTTGTTCCCCCCTCCCAGTTCATCAAAAAGTGGTGAAAACCAAGTGTCCCTTATTCCTAAGCTGAAGTCATTGATATGGTTGCAGAATCCTCCATTATTCCTGGAAGAGATAGACTTCACCATAAATTTTTATAACAAAACCTGACAATCCAGGTCACTCATTAAATATTCAGTGCTTACTTCAAACTGTCTTCCCTAAAGCTCCACAGCTGCTGGAATTTCTCCTTGTTAACTGAGCAGCTACTGCATGTACAATTTCCCAGCGCACAGAATGCCACAAGTCCGCTCTATCAGCTAAATAGCCATGTGGGGCCTCTCCGGTGGCGCAGCGGTTGAGCACTGGGTTGTGAAGCTGCCCGCAGCCTCTGCAGTGCCGGTTTGATACCCGGCTGCTCCCCAGCCACTGGAGGAGGGTCCCACATGGTGCGCAGACCTTTCCTGCCACCCGCTGCTCCCCTCAGCAGTGTATTTCAGTAGATCTGCCTGTTCTGCTCCCCACTCTGGCTCTGGTGAATTCTCTCACCCCCCCTCGCTTCTGACTGTACTCAGTGCTTGTATAAATAAATAAATCTTTAATAAATAAATAGCCATGTGGACTTCACCATAAAGAAACACTATACATACACATCTACATATACAATACAATATAGTATATATGACATTGTTATATATGTATGGTATATTTTTTAAAATCCTAAAAATAAGCACATTTACCTTTGATCAAATGAATTACTAAGACTCAAAGCATTAAAGGTTTGTACAAACATACACACAGGTTGGATTATAAAAATTACCAGGGTAAAAAATTTTTGCTAATTCTTAGCAAACCTTAAGAACATATTACAGTACATGTTCTTTACTTGAAAAAAAAAAAAAAAGGAACTATAACAAAACTCCTCTTACTTACATATACAGCATAGGTCACAATGAGAGAAATATAAATAAACCTAATTTGATCTGCGGGTGAAATGGCCCAACATAAAGATCTGTCAATTTTAAACATAACATTATCTTCCAGGATAATACAGATGTCATTTGAGGGCAAATGAGGGAGAATGACTTGAATTCCAAGGGTTAAGGCTCTTATGTACTAATGAAGACAGTGGGTCCAAGTTTCAGGTTGTGCCAGCTCTCTGCTGAAAACTCTCTGGCTGTCCCATGGCCTGACACAGCATCCAGCTGCTGACTACACCAGCTGCCTGATCTTGGTCTTTCCTTCATACCTTCCTAAGACCGCAGTCCTGTTCTTCCTCCTACTAGCACCAACCCTCTTATTCTTCATTCAACAAGCTGGCTCCATGGTCTGGGGCTAATGGTGTGACCCCTTTGGCTGTACTGCCAAAGGGCAGTCAATCGTGTGTCCTGCTCACCTTCCCAGCCAATGTAGACACACCTAAAATCTAGACTTTAAAACTGTACACATGTGGGTTTCTAGATCCCTTTGGGTGCAAATCCAGAGCTTACTCACACATGATGTTTACACACACGTTACTTACACATACATGTTTATATCAATACTCCATGTACATCTTTTTTGTTAGAAAGACTCAGCTAATTCCTTATGCTAGATATCCAAACAGGTCTTGCTTATAGGAAACCAATGACAGCCTCTAGTTCTGTCCAGCTCTTTCATCACCAAGTTGTAGGAAACTTCCTGGAAAGCCACCAGGACCATACCTGTCACCCTCTCTACCTATAATAGCACAACCTGGAACACATTTCTAGGCTCCTACCTGGGAGCTGGGACTCAGACCTGGGCCCCTTTCCTTGGCACGCCTCCTCGCCAATATACTGGAGGCCATAGTAGGAGAAACCACAGGCATATCCCTTAAGCCAGTTCCTCTTAGAACTTGACCAGTCACAGGTGTCGGACCTGCTGCTTCAGCTCTGGAGAACACGAAAACCCCTTGGTGCCTCCGAGGGGTTTCCTATTCCCCTTCTTTCTTTTTTATAGGAAACTGTAAAGGGTATTCCAAAAGAATAGGTTGCAGAAAAGCCTTAGTATAATGCACAAGTAGGAGATGGTAAGGTTTCAAATCTCCGACCCCCAGCTTCAGCTAAGGGATGCAACAAAGTGACTTCAGGAATCCACAGTTCTGTGTCTCTATTTCTAATAATACACTTAAGCTGCATTGAAATGGACATTTCTTGGCAGGACAGTAAGCCACCAGCTGCCGGCCACCTCTGCTTCCTAAGGTGTTGTCAAAGTCAGTGTGAGAGAGAGAGATGGCAAGGAGGAGCAACAGTCTCGGTGCTAAGCTCCACCCTAGTGTTCCCCACGTCACAGAGTAGGTAACTTGGACCACATACTACTTCTCACACACACCTATGCAGATTCTTGGACATCACAAAGACCAGAATCATACTCACTTCCAGTATTTAACAGTAAGTTCTTTCAAAATCCCTAACATTATTTAGGGCTGAGGAAAAGCGAAGATAAAGCAATTATTTCATGCTGCAGTAAACCCAATGCTAACACTGCCACAATTTAACTATACACTTATTGGCACACACATCTCACACCTGGGAGAGAAGCCTTGTTAAAGATGCTGCAGGAAAAGTTTGTGCACTTTTGGGAGGTGGGATGGGTGGAGGGAGAGCAGAAGTAGACATCTCTAACTGAGCAAAGAAAAAGGTCTGTTGAAATACCATGCACTGGCAGATCCAAGGTAAACGCCATTAGATCCAGAGCAATTACCAGAGTTATAAGAAAATTGGATGGTAATTATGTTTGTTGGTTTCCTGGAAAACTAAACATAGTGATCCACTGAGAAAGTGTCTGAAAGGGGAAAAAATGTAGCCAAAAATACCAGAACCCAGTTATTCAACTTACACATTATCTAAGATATCACTTTAAAGTCCTCTCATTCTAAAGTTTAATAAAGAAAAAAAGGTGTCCGTGTCACACATTTTGACATTGTAAACAGTAATAACCTGGCTGCATCATTCTAAAGCAATTTCATTCTAACAAGTATTTTTACTAAGAAATCTCTGCGTAGTAAGACAATTTCCAAACCTACCCAACTTATAATCATCTCAGAAAAAAAAAAAAATTTCGCTGGACAATGAACAAACAACTATAGTTCCATGACAGTAAAGGCTGGCAAGCTTAGGAACGTGTTTCCATCTCCTCACCCTCTAGGGCCCAGGTCCCTGGGGAGCAGGAGCCTGGCGTCACCATCCCCTCACCTGCCAGCTCTGCTCTTGTGTACCAAAACACCTTGCCATCAGATGGTGATGTGTGTTTGAAGAGATTGTCACATCTACATTTTTCCAAGAGTTTTCAGTCCTTTGCATATTATTTCAATCTTTTTAATATCAAATGCCGCCTCCTGTCCTGTGTAACCCTGGACAAACAGTGCTTTTGGACAAACAGTGCTTCTGACAGTTGATACAATCTAAATTGTATGCTTTTCAATAATACTGAAATATCTTACCATTCCCTCTAACCGAGGCTCAGCTTTAGGGGTAGAAAAGTGAGCAAAGAATCGACCCAACTTCTAGCTTGATAAAAGATACCCTAAGTGGAGCACTTACCTGTTTCCTTCCAAATTATGCTTTTAGTTTATAAAATATGTGAAGAAATAAGCAAACCCATTAGGCCAGTCAGTCAGTGCTCAAACCCAGAGGTAAAGCCCTCCCATTCCACAGGAGGTCTAGCTCAAATGCATACGTAGAAGCTAATGAATGAGCACAGCAGAAATCAGAAAGCCCTGCTCTATAATCACTGCAGTCTCCTGGAAAAGCTCAGCTCACACCCACTGTCACTTTACATGGCAGGAGACCACATAAAAGAACTTCGGGCAGAAAACATAACCCCAAATGGGGTGCTTTTAACACTGGTAAATTAACGTATTAATGTGTTTCCTAATTTTAAAATCACTTCATTAAATTGAATACACATTTGCTGTTTTGTTGAAGTCAATAAAGCTATCATGTTCTGGGATAATACAAACGAACCATTCACCCTAACTAGGGAAATATGGTAAAATGCCTTGGGTGCAACTTATTATGTGGCAGGTAGTGGAAGGGCACGAAAGCCTTTGGGAAAACCATCACTCAGTGTGTAACAGAGCTCCCCATACTTCTCTCTTGCAGACATGCCAAATCTCTCTTCTGGAACAAGGCCATTTTACGGCCTTTGAAAGTGAATTAGAGTTGTGCCTCAGAACTTTTCCATTAGGGCTGCTTATTTATCAGCTGCTTCAGAGTTTCATTGTGGAAAAACATCACCAACAACCAGAGTGGCAGACCACATCCTGAAGCAGCAGCATAAATTACAGAAAAATCCTTTGATGTAGAAAGAGGGACTCTGGCTCCATGCGTTAGTGGAAGAGAAGTTCTAAGTGCTACATTTATAGCAAATGAACATAATAAGTTCCTCTTCTAAATTCAACCAAAGAACACTGGAGTTTAGAAATTCAGGGCCTTAAAGCAGGCAGAACAACTCAGATGCAGAGTTCCTTCCTGGCCCTCCTGATGCCACTCTCCTTGCTGGATGACCACCCACCTATGGGTCGGTGGGGCCACTAACAATGGTCACGGGCTCATTAGTTCTCTTTGCTCCAGCTGCCACATCTTGCTATGGCCTGTCTCTCTTGCCAATTTTCATTTCCTCAACCAAGGGCTCTTACTTCTGCTGCCTGTTGTAAGCTTTAAGTTCCTTTATTACTGAATTATGCAGAAATTGAACCTCCCATCTGTATGAAATAATAAGTCTGAAAGTTGGATTAGAAATTCTTTGAGCAGATATATATAACAAACTCACAACAATCATTCCTTTTTACCAAGGTGTAATAAAAGGTCATGAATTTATTCAGGCTTACAGTAACAAAACCAAGGGAAGAGCTTTTTTATACTTTGTTCCCTCATACAGAGTCACATTGTGTAAATCTTAGATTTAAAGTATCCCAGAGTAGAAGGATCACTGAAAGACCACTAAGTGCAGCCTTATCATATTTACAAATGGGTAAACTAAGTCCTAGTAAAGCTAAGTGCCTGATCCAAGATCACAAAGCTGGCTTGTATCTGAATTAGAATCCCAAATAAACAGGCTACACTTCACACCCAGCAAGGTAACTCTTCAAAGGGGAGAGGCATGGCCTTACCTGCAACAGAGTTGGGCCTTGGCATTATTAGCGAGCTGGAGCTCTGAGAATAAGGGACTGGACCATCTCCAACTGAGGCTTCAGCCTTGGGCAGCACACTCTCCGCTGGCCCCGTGGGCTCTTCTTCTGCCACTGGGGAGCAATTATCTGCCCTGCGATCATGAAGCACACCCTTCTGTACCCCTAACCTTAGGCTTCCGTCTTTATTCCATTCCAAGCTGGAGCCACTCCGGTCATCGTTTTCGGATGAACTTGTAATTGTGGCTGAAATGAGAGACCAAAATACTTTGAAAGAGGCCAGACCATGCTGGGGCTGCAGAGAGTTAACACACACACTGCTCTCCCCACAATCAATGGAAAGTTTTCCGGTCCACAAAGATTTTTATCAAAGTATGTTTCATACAATGTACTTTGGTAAATTAGAAGAATGTTGCTTATCAAGGGAAATAAACTGCTAAATCATTCTATAGGGAAGGAAAAAAAAATGATAGGAAGATAATGAAAACACTGTCTGAAACTATCTGAGAGTTAATGTAAGTCTATGTAATTTGGAGATAATGTATCCTCGCTTTTTAACAAGGATGAACTGCTCACAGAAGAATTCATATCTCATTAAAATTCCTTTAAAGCTTTAAATATTTTTTCCAAATTAACAACATTTGTGTATTGGTGGGAGGGAATTCTTATCTCATTAAATTCATTCGAACATTTACAAAGTTTTTCCAAATTAACAACATTTGTGTATGGGGGTGAGGGGCAGGGGGAACACAATGGTTAATGCAGAAAAGATGCAGGAGAGAAATCCATAAAAACAATTATAAAGTCAAGCAGAGAATTTGATCCTTAGAATTAAACTTTGTAACATCTGTTCAAAACAACCCAGATTGACTTATTCCCTTAGCAGCATAGAATGGAAAACCTCTATGTAAACAGCACAGGGAAAATGCAAGCATGGAAAGGGATGCTTGATTAACATTTAGCCAGCATGGAGAAACATCCTAGCAAAATAGGAGGCACATGACAAAGGAAAGAAGCAATATTCATCCTACATAGTTTATCTACGCAGTCACTTCCAATTTAAAGACAGTAAGACTTCTGTGTCCTCCTCACAACCACCAGTCACGTGGACCTAACATTGGCTTGTGTCCTTGAGAGCAGGGGCCATGTCCTCTGATCCCTTTGTGTTCCCTGTTTGGGCTCCAGCAGCTCAAGCCCTTAACTGAGGATTAAATGGGAGCAGCAAGGGTCAGAGTAGCACCAGGGGTCAGAGTGTATTCAGAACCCAGCTGGCTGGATTAAGCAGCTTGGAACACACCATGATGATACACACGGATAAGCAGAGACTGGTGAATTAGATCCAATAGTCTTTTCTGTTATCGAAGATCAAAGGGTCTAAAGAGAGATTGTCTTGTTTATTTTACAATGCTCTAAAGACAAAATAATTTCCTTGCTGTGACCACAGAGCACTGTGCCACAATTCGAAGGCTGGCTTTCTCTTGCTGCACCAGTCTGGACTACGGTCCTCTGCTCACTTTCTACTTACAAAGTGCTCCAACAAGGACCATCAGGTCTCCTTTTCTGAACAGCACAGTTTGTCTGTACTAAGTACTCAAACAATGTTTGCGTATTGAATTAATGAACAAATGAGCAAACTTCTGCTCCTGAGATACTGCATCTATTCAGTCACTACATTAAGTCCGTTACTGGTTCAGATTGGCTGGTATTATGTCTCTAGCCAAAGTGTAAGTTGATCTGGGATGGACCTATCACACCTTTTGGGTGTCTGTCATTTACTTCCAGTATTTCCAGGCATTCTCTCAGCAACATGAAGCCACCGCTCCATCTATCTGAAATCAATTACGGTCTTCACTGTACTTTAAAAAAATGGCCCACTTGTGAGCATAATATAAGTATGACAGCATCTATCCTAAAAACACCAGTGGTGGTGGTGGTCCTAGGAGTCGCTAGCATTTACTGAAGGTTACAGATGTCAGGGACTGTACTAAGAACTGCATTCATGCCATTTCTATTATTATTTTGGAAATTAATCATTTATGGCAACTCGGTCAGTAAGTTGTCATTGTGTGATAAACCCTAGTTTACAAGTCCAGTCTTTGGGGCTCAGAATGGTTTTCCTGGAGACAGGTTGAAATTAGGGAAAAAAAAAACATAAAAGCATCACAGCAGGCGAGTTACAGGAAAAGTTCCAAGGGTGAGGGTGATTTTTGTTTGGTTTTACTGCTATTGCTGTTTTACTTGGGGGTGGAAAATAAATGATTTTCCTAATTTGTTGTAAGTGTCCTGCACTTCAGAATCAAATGCCGACAGATCTGAATCCTAACTGAGACCTCAAGCAGTGGGTACAAGGACTGTACTTCTCTGCTTCCTAATACAAGTAAAAGCAGCAGAAGCAAGACTTCAGGGTCCCAGGAAGCAGCTGAGGCCGGCATGGATTGCTATAGGTCCATCCTTACCAAACAGTGACAAGTGCCCAGGCCCTCCCTGATGAGTGACAACTTTCAGGTCCTGGCAGAGGAAGAAGAGTGGGTGGGGGGCCAGGATCAGCAGCTGCAGAAACAGCAGGTGGGAAGAGAAGTCCCAAATGGGGTCACCATTCCAAAAGGAGCATATGTAACTTGATAACATGTCTGTAAGTAGGAGACTCCCCACTATTTTCATGAAGTTCAGCTAAGAAACATTCCACTGACCACAATCACCAGGGTCCTAAGACACAGGTCTGGGAGAAGCTCTGGAGTCAGTTCTCCTCTAAAGATGCTCCCCCAACAATGCCCCTCTTCACAAAATCCCTCTCTGGGGAGCAAACAGTAGATATGACCTATATGGTCGAAAGCCTAGGCAGGAAAATTTCACCTTGGCTCAGGCATGATTAAGTTCTGAAGTACCCAGGGGGCCATATAAAAAGCCCAACCTGTTCAGTTTCCCTACATGACCCAATAAGCGCTCCAAACCCGGCAGCTTCACAGTCTGTTACTTTAAGTGAATACTGGTTCTTACAACAAATGCCAGGCTCCTCAAACACACCCATTTTTCTTCTAGACTAACAGAAATTTAAACTCCTCATTAAGTTAACCCAGTCACCTTTAAGTTAGAGCAACATTATGATTTTTTTGAAGTTCTGAAAAATAAGTGACATTTGACACTTTGCATAGACTGGATTATAGCTAAATTTCCCAGTAACTCAAAAATCCTAACATTGTATTCCTTCAGCCAGAACAGATGCCAACTGTTTTCATTCTGTAAATGAAATCTTGCTGTGGTCACTCAGAATGGGTTTCAACCACTCCTTTGACATGCAAGCTTCTGTAAAAGGTACAATTTATCAGGCCTGAAGTTTTATCAGGCTATGTGATAGATCATGCCTCATAATTTAGTATCAGGCTAAGTTTGGTACCACTACGGACACTCGTATGCTACTTCTGAGTCTGTAGTTTGAAAATATCTTTTAGCTGAAGATTAACTTATCTTCCTCTGTAGAAACAGCACCTTTAACCAGAACTAGTAGTGCTACTTCCTCTGAACTATCCAAACATATTCAGCACTATCCAAACACTTACATAATCATACTGTTTGCGAGAAGAGGTAGATTGGTTGAGAACCATCAACCCTGCTTTATAGATACGGAAACAGACTTAGGAGAAACAGAATGCTCTGCCAGTCTCTCGCTCTCCCCCCAACCCCCCCCACACACACACGATTAGTAGTATGTCTAATATGAGGCTTTTTGATTGCACATGCAGTGGTTTAAAAAATTCCCTTTGCCTAAACACACAGTGCCAACACAGAAGAATCCACTAAGTATCTGTGAGTAGAATATATTTTGCTGTGCATGAAGTCAGCTTTGTTAAAAATGGCCACCCACTCAGTCAAATTGTTTTGCTCTGTAAGTTTCTACAATAAAATTTAGTTATTTTCCCTTACCAAGTTTTCTTTATTCCCTCTTTTAAATGCATATTTAAAATAGGATTGGAAAAAAAAATATTATCAGTGTAAATCCAGGACTCAATACATAGCTTGATGATACCTATGTCAGATTACAGGTTTAAAAGAACATTAAGCAGAAAATTAAACTGAGTAAGCATTAGTGCAGAAATATTTAGGAAGTAAGGGCCATATATTTGTCCTCAAATATATACCATGTGCAGAGGGCAGAGTGCTCCTTTTGAAGTATAGAAAGACATATACTTGTCTTAGGTCGAAGCTTGGCTTCTTCCCTTTTGAGGGTCCACAAGGGGATGTGTCTCTTGGACACATGGAATGTGTCTAATACTAGGAATGGTACCATTTTGGTCTTCCCTTCACAACCACCATCTCCTATATTTGATTGTTTCTTTATACTGACCACCTGGAAACTTAAAGAGTAAAATTTTCTGCCAACTTATAAGCAAAAGCCAAAAATGTTGTAAGAACCTAACTCCTGACTTCGGTTTTTCTCTTATCTTTATTTCCTTTCCCTAACACATAGCACCTTCACTGAAAAAGAAAAATTTTGTTCTACCAAGTGTCTATTTGTGAACATTCAAATTCATTGGGAAGGGAATAAGTTTAAATAAGTAACTACTCTTAGGAAGTCACAGTGACAATCAACATAAATAATGTAACAGGGCTTACCTAGCAGGGACTGGGTTCTAAGTCTTTTTCCTATCAACTCACTAAACACTGCTAACATCCCTGTGGGCAGGAATGTCTTGCTGTGCTCCTCCACGGGGCGCCACACTGTTCTGATTATGCTGCACTATTAGCAGCAAATTTTGAGCATGTATCCCAGATACATGTATTTATAAATAACATGCAGCACTCTAATTATTATAATATAAACCATACACACAAAATACATATTTTTAAAGGATTAAAAAAACAACAACCCAGAAATGGGATTTTCTTCAAGTACTTCATAGATTGACTGCAGTCTTGATTTCCAAAGCCAGGGCTCCATGAAGAGAGTCCTTTATCCTTCTTGGGGTAGCGGGTAAAATTAGATACAAGAGCATATGCAAAGTGCCTCACAGATCATGAGTACTCAATGTTTTCCTCCCCATATAGCTGAAGAAAAGTAAAATAGTACTAGAAAAGCAAACCCCTCTTAACTTCTATATTCAATTTAATGGTGACAGGAAAAGTTTAAAAGTTAAGACACTGGACCAATGGGTTAAAGATCAAACATAATGGCTGCTTATAAAAGTGGGAGATGGGAAGAAATAAATAAAAAAAGCATCATTCAGCTAGTACAGATGCCTCCTCCTTTA